GGGGGAGAGGGCTACGCGCGCCGATTTTTCAGAAGGTGGCCGTGACGTCACGGTGGTGACGTCGCAGCCTGAGAAGCCGCTCTGCCCCTGTTGTTGTGTGCCTTCAAGTTATTTTTGACTTATGGAGGCCCTAAAGGGGACTTCTTCACGAGGTTTTCTTGGCAAAGTTTGTTCAGAGGAGGTTTGCCATTACCTTCCCCTGAGGCTGAGAGAGTGTGACTTGCCCAAGGTCACCCAGTGGGTTTTGTATGTAGTATGTTTCTGGTGGTATGGAGGAAGCATCCTGCTTTAAGGCTCTTGTCAGAGCACCCAGAAACCACACAGTGACAGTTAACACAGAGACTGGAGCCAGGCTGGGGGAGTGGGTTGAGTGTTGGACTAGGGCTCTGGAGACCAGGGTTCGAATCCCAGCTCGGCCATATAATAATAATAAATGTTTAAACTGATTTTTTGTTTAAACTGACTTTTATTATTTTGCTCATTGTTTTAACTTAGATTGTACGCCTCTGGCAGGTTTTATTTATTTGTTTTATTCTTGATTGTCTTTTATACAGCGCTGAGTACACTGACAGCGCTCTAGAAATAAACTTTAATAATAATAATAATAATAATAATAATAAATGTTATTTATAGCCTGCTTCTCCCTACAGATCGAGGCGGGTTACAACAAATAAGAATAACAATAAAATGCAATATACAATTTAGATCCACATTTCTAAATAATCCCCTGCTCCAACCCCCTCCCAGCCCTAAAAAAGAAGCAAACTAAAATCAATAACAATATAAAATGAATAACAATATAAATGCCAATTAAAAGAGGAAGAAATAACAAATTAGCTAAAATTAGAGGCGAGACATCTATCGTTCTTGGAGTAGACGAGGTAAACCCACTTGAGACCTTGAGCAAATCACACTCTCTCAGCCTCAGATGAAGGCCAAAGGCAAACCTCCTCTGTGCAAATCTTGCCAAGAAAACCAAGATGTAGCAATGATTTTAGTAGAGGTTGCAGTTCCC